CCCTTCCAGCCTGCAGCACAGTCACAGGTAGGGGTGGCGAGGGGCTCTGCAGGACTGGGCAGACCCACCCGACCATGAGTACTCCCCACCCCCAGTGGATCCTGTATGTGGGACACACCAGCACGTTAGGGGTTAATAGTGCCCAGGTCAATGGGACTGTGGTCCCTATTTCCAGTCCTAAGAGTCTGCTGCCCTCTGCAGGGCGTAAGGGGAATAACATGGCACTGTTGGGGCCTGCAGCTGGTTCTGGAAATGCAGGATTCCTGTTACCAGGAGCAACGGGCAGGGGAATCTCCGCTGGGATCCTTGCTCTGGGGGGGTGAAGGCCCATCTCCAGAACCTGCATGCTCTGTGAGAACACCGGGAAAAAATTCTGTTGAAGAAAAGAAAAAGGAGAGGGGGAGACCAAAGTTGTTGAGCAAAAAAAAAAAAAGCAGGGTGGGGCCAGCATTGCCCTTTTAAGAGATGAGGGCCTTTAAGACACATTGGCCAGCCATCTATCAGACTGGGAAGTATCGTCACAAAAAAAGCACTGGGGTATCCAGCTCGGGATGCCCGTGGCCCCTCAGGGCAGTGGCAATCCAGCCCCAGCTGTTCCACAAGGGCCCTCTGATGGGCACGTGTCTCCTTCCCTGTCCATGCCTAGCTGCCACCCCATGAGCGGAGAATGCACCTGCCAGCCGGGCTGGGCGGGACTGCACTGCAACGAGACCTGCCCGCAAGGCTACTACGGGGCCAACTGCCAGGAGCCCTGCCTCTGTCTGAACGGGGGAACGTGTGATGGCACCACGGGGCGCTGCCGCTGTGCCCCGGGGTACACGGTGAGTCTGGGGACCAGTCTGCGGGCATAACCTGGCAGCCATGTCCTGGTCATGATAGGGCGTGGGCGAGGGAGGGTTGTCTAGTGGTTAGAGCACAAGGCTGGGTGTCAAGACTCCTGGTCGCTTCATCTCCACAACCATATCTTGGCACTGGAACAAAAATGAGTCGGGGTTTGGAACGGGTGCCATGAGAAGAGAGATTAAAAGGACCGGGACTTTTCAGCTTAGAAGAGAGGAGACTAAGCAGGGATATGATAGAGGTCTATAAAATCATGACAGGTGTGGAGTTGTTCACTTGTTCCCATAACATAAGAACTAGGGGTCAAGAGGGACCAGGTTTAAAACAAACAAAAGGCTGGATTTCTTCACGCAGCGCACTGTTAACCTGTGGAACTCCTTGCCAGAGAATGTTGTGAAGACCAGCACTTTAACAGGGTTGAAAAAAGAATTAGATACATTCATGGAGGTTTGGCCCATCAATGGGTGGGTAGGATGGGTAGGAATGTGCCCCTAGCCTGCTTGTCAGAGGCTGGGAATGAGTGACAGGGGATGGATGACTTGATGGTTCCCTGTTCTGTTCATTCCCTCTGGGGCACCTGGCATTGGCCGCTGTCAGAAGACAGGATATGGGGCTAGATGGACCTTTGGTCTGACCCAGTCTGGCTGTCCTTATGTACGCCCTGCTCTGGGAGGAGAGTGAGGACAAGTGGTTAGAGCATGGTTGGCATTGTAGCAACGCACAGAATTTTAGCTCCTTGCACTCTGGGTTGGAGGTTCAGACCCACCCCAGGGCAGCATCTGGTAAGTAGCTGCCCCACCCCCCTTGACTCTACCCCACGCCCATTCTGCCCTTGTGTGTTTGCAGGGGGAGCATTGCTCCAGTTACTGCCCCGCCAACACCTATGGGGTGAACTGCTCCCTGACGTGTACCTGCAAGAACGCCTTTGCCTGCTCCCCCATTGATGGCACCTGCGTCTGCAAAGAAGGTAGAGGGGGGCGGCAGGGAGGGCCTGGCCTGGCACGGCTCCCCCAGCTCTGGGGGGCTCTAGCTAGGAGGCATGGGGGAGTCAGGTCCCGGCCAGGCCTGGGGAGGCCTTTCCAGTGCAGCCCAGAAAGGTCTGGTCAAGATCTCTCTGTGCCCCGGCTCTGGAGCGTGGGGGCAGGGAGGCTGGACTCAGCCCGGATTCCCCCTCGCCCGCTTGGCTCCCGGTGCAGACCTTCTGCCACGCTTGGGGGCTGGCGGGACGTCCCATGCGACCTCTCCCTGCGGGCATGATCCTCCCCTCCCCCCTTCCCGGAGCCCCAGTGTGGATGGTGCAGGAGACCCCCGAGCCGGGGCGTGCGGGAGCCGGGGCAGAGAGCAGGGGCCTGCTGAAAGCTTCGCTCCCCTCTGATCCCCAGAGCTGTCCAGCCATGGCTCTGCACTGGCCCAGCATAGCCCCCACAGAGGCTATTGCCTGGGCACAGCGTAGCCCCCCCATAGCCCTGCTTCTCCACCCCTCCAGCTGCCTC